TTTGTTTGGGTGGTGCTGGTGCCTGTTTCTTGGTGCCTGCGTTGGCAAAATAAGGAGAGAGAACAGAAAATGCATTGGAAATATTGTATTGCTTATTTACTCAGTGTGTACGGTGGGTAGCAGACATCTATTTGACAGGAGGCCTTTAGCGTTTCCATTCTGCGGGCTGTGGATTTGTACCACTGATGGTGTTGGGCTCCCTCCTGTGGTATGCAAAAGAACTGCATCCATCCGTTTATCCTCACAAGGGGTCGCGGGGCATGCTGGAGCTTATCCCAGCTGCCTTTGGGCGGTCGGCGGGGGGACACCCTGAACCGGTTGCCAGCCAATCGCAGGGCACACACAGACGAACAACCATTTTCGTTCACAATCACACCTAGGGACAATTTAGAGTGTTCCTGGAGATGTTCCCAAAGGGCATAAAAACAGTCTTGTTGCTATTGTTTATAAACATTACTGTCATATTATTTGTGAATAAAATTGACCTGATGATATTTTGTTTTGAGGGCACCATATCGTAACTGCAACAGAGGCGTTGTTGAGAATGCCGTAGTTTCACACCTGAGACGGGCATCTGCAACCCCGTTTTGGTCCGATGAGTATCTTTCGTATATATTGCATCACTGGCTGATGCTGACCTTGTCACACATCAAATGATCTGATTGTGGAATGCTGTGAGGAAGGTTCTGTGTGAAAGGCCGTTAACTCATTCACTCCCAAAGATGTTTTCAAACGTCTTTTCAGACTTGGTCCAGAATTAGCTGGTACTGAATGAGTTAAATTTCTGATGCGTCAAGTCTTCGGTTGTTGGGTGTTATGACTTATGGCTTGTCCTGTCAGGGATTGCCAGAGACTGTCACTTGTATGATTTGTCCGGCAGTTCTTTAACTTCACGTGCCCCTCCTGACACAAACCTTTTTTTTTTTTTAAATTTGGGCTTAGAACCAGCATTGCATTAATATGGGGGCACTGGTGGGGAACCAAGTCCACATCATGTGCCCGAAGGGCAACAAACATCCTGTGGCGCTCCACTTACCCCTACGGACCATGTGAGGACTGGGCCCCCTGGATCCACTTTGCGACTGAGGCGCTCCCGCGGTAAGATGGGCCGAACCATTCCTCTGTGGCGGCGGTGTGGATGTGAGCTCCCGGGCTGGGCTGTGGGCACGGAACGGGTCCAAATCATTTTCTGTGCCGAGACCGACATTCAAGGTTTTATGGTAGTACCGGCGCAAAGCAAATATGAAACGAAAACAACGCTACAAATAAATTGACACAAAAATCAAGATGATGCAACACTCGTAAATGTACGTCAAGCCAGATCGGACCAGGTCGTAGATTTAAACCCAATCAAGCAGGCTTAATGAGCGCAGAGCAGGGAGAGATTAAGCACAGAAAACAAGCAGGGAAGACATACAACATCACCTGGAAACAAAGCGTCACGTGATTGAACTTGTCAGACATTTTGAATTTGGTGGATTTCCGCCAAACAGAAGAGGTGCGGGGAGATCCGGGCGGTTTGGATTGCTTGAGAGCGGGCAGCGTTGCGGGGGGAGTATTTGCGGCCGCGGCAACTGGCTCGCTCCTTACCTGCTCTCCTCTGCGCCGAGCTGAGAGACCGATTGAGGTTGCGCGGCGGCTAGCTGGCCCCCAGCGCCCACACCGCCAGCCGGGCCCGGATGCTCGGGCTCCGGCGTGGCAGCTTGGGGCTGGGGCTCAAAGCCGACGGGACCCCCGCCTTCCTGGTTGGGCGGTAGCGCTTGGAAGGTGGGTGAGGTTAGCTGTGGCTGCTTTCTAATAGTGGTGGCGGCTCTACGAGGGTTGGGCTCCGGATGTTTGTTAACGGTGCTACGGAAGTGAAGGAGGGGGGGAGAGAGGGGGGCAAATCCCACACACACACACACACATATACACATTGTAAGAAAATACCCAGGAGAGCTCAAGAGGAACAGAGAGCAGACAGAGACGAGCCCTCCGAAAGCAGAACCGCGCTACGAACGTCAAGCCACATGAGCGACTTAACTCATTCACTCCCAAAGACGTTTTTAAACGTCTTTTCAGACTTGGTCCAGAATTGGCTGGTACTGAATGAGTTAAAAAGGAACCAACATCGCTGCACAGGACAGATGCCAGGAAGCCAACACACAACCAGCAACCTACAGTGTGACCTAAACTTTAATTGCAAATTACGGGGTTAACACAAGAGTACACAATGGAATTCGAACCACATTTTGCCAACATCAAGAAAAACCGAAGCGCTACATGTTTAGTTCCAGGAGAGGACACAAAAGGAAATCGACTCCAAAAGTATCGAAATCATACAAAAACGTTGCCGTTGACGGTCCCGACCGGTGGAATCGTGAGAGCTACTTTGGGACTAGAGCACAGGCTGAAAGTTTGGACAGGGCGGCTCTCGGGTGGGCGTTTCAGAGACTGTGATGGACTCATCGGCCACTACGTAGTGGGCCGACACTGCCGGGCCCCGCGAATCCTGCCTGCTCGCTGTCTTGGGGCGGGACGGGAGGGGGAGCGGCAGGCTGAGGCCGAGGTTGGCGCGAGACAGGTACCTGTCTTTGCGGGGAGGCTGCGTGTCCCCGTCTTGCCCCACAAGGCTCCCGGGGCGCTTCCTCTCAAGTTCGGCGTCCGCCAACGTCGCCGGGTGGGTGGGCATGGCGAACATACCCGACACGTTGAAGTCCACCTCTGGACAGAAGAAAGTAGTGAGGCAATACGGTTACGCTGAGAACCCGCAAACTCGTTCCGCTACGGGATATTGACTTGATCAGGCTTGTGTCAGCTACTGGATGTAAATTAGGACTCAACAATTTTCGCATTGCGATTTCAATTAGGAATTATGCTAAAATAAAGGCCAATGAAACATAAACTTCAATTCGAGGTGTTCACTTCCTAAAGCGAGTCTGGTGCGTCGTCGCTTCAAGCGCATTTCTGAGGCGGGGCAAACCTGAGCAAAGACAGACAGCGAAATGAACCAATCAGCGAAGAGCGGACGTGACGTTAAAAAAAAAAAAAAGCCTTCTTTTGAAAGAAATGCTCTCTGTGCCATCAGCTGCTGGGGGTTTCATGACTCTCTATGTCACAGGTGTCAAAGTCGAGGCCCAGGGGCCAGATCTGGCCCGGCACGTCATTTTATGAGGCCCACGAAAGCAATTCAAGCATGTCAACTTCCAAGACGCTTGCTAAAGTCTGAACCAAAATCTCAAATTGTCATATCTAATCCATAACAAGCATTTTTGAACATGCCATTTTTCTTGATTTCAGATGTCAAAACTAGTTGTCCATCTATTTGGTTGTTTGCGCATATTTGAACATGCAGGAGGCAGTTAAACTTTTATATGGTTTCACAAAATTCATAACGGCCCTCCAAAGGAAACCGTAACTACAATGTGGCCCGCGACAAAAACGAGTTTGACACCCCTGCTCTACGTATTTCTGGTTCTTTAACCCTTTCAGACACGCTGTAACCTGATAACATAATCAGCTGTCCACTGTAGTAACCGCTGTGCCTGAAAGGATTTAAACTGATTTAATGCTGAGTGACATTAACAAACTATCGCCTCGCCTGCGCGCCATTTTGAAAGAGGAAGGACTTCCGCCGCCGAAGAGTGACGTTGAGCACGACGGATCGGTCGCATCAAGTAAACAAATTTGATTGGACGATTCGTTTAGAACCGAGGCCCAGCTGCTGCGAATGGCGTGCTCTTAAGGACTATTTTCTTAGTGGGTGTGGCTTGCCAGACTACCGTCAACCATGTATTTTGTCATGTCATTTTGTCTCGATTTCAGGCGGGTGCCAAAAAAATTTGAATATTGAGGGCAAGTCATTGATTTCAATAATTTATTATACTTAAATTATATGTAATATAATTTAATTTTTGTCTCTTTCTGCCATCATCCTCGCAATTGAAACAAATCAAGGCTTGCAGCATTTCACTTTGTATGGAGGAAACGAATCTAACATGACAATTTCTTGGTACGCACCTGCATTTTTGTTTGTAATTTCTCTTTTCTACTTTTCAGCCAGTTTGGATTAGAAACTTTTTTTTTTTTTTTTAAATATCACTGAAGCATCACCTTCAGGAAAGAACCAATCAGCATGCTGGATGATCGGCTCAATGATGGCGACCACATGGACCGATGTTGCCGCAGCCATTTCTGCCAGTGTCCTGCGGCGATAAGAAAGATGAGAGAGGAGGTCAAAAGGTCAATCAAAGGCAACCGAAAATAAAACCCTTGCGAGTGTGTGCAAAGTGCCCTCACCCCTCCGTCTTTGCCCACAGCAGGTTGGGCCCCAGCACGATGGCGATGTTGCTGGGAGACATTTTGTTGACGTCGCGGTCTTGAGCCAGCTTGGCCAAAAACTTCACCAGGTACCTGTCAAGTATTCAAGATTATCAAAAACACAATTTTTCATTTGTTTGTACAGGTCTGCGTAATCTCTGAATTGTGAGGAAAGTCGGACAACACCTACCGAAAGTTGGCTTTGTGAGTTTTTGGTAAGCGGTCACATGTCACCCACAAAGCCTGAAGTCGCTTGTCAGGGTCAGACACACTGAAAGCACACACAGTGAGCAGAATCCCATCCCGGAACACACACAGACACACTTTCAGATGCGGGCGTCCTCTTACTTGGACGCCTGCGTCCACTCATCATACAGGCCAAAAGTCATGAGAGGTTCAGGAAGTTCCCTGAGGTACGACTTCAGGGCTCCTGTGTGTAATCAAACATATCAAAATAGAAGTTTGGAAACTGATGTGAAGTGGATCAGGTTTTCGGTTTTGCGAGGCTGTAAAAACACAGAAAGGTTGCTACCGGCGACGGCGTGGGGGTCGGAGTAGAACTCTTCAAGCTGGGAAGTGGAACAGTCCAGCGCGGCTTTCAACTTTTTTAGTTTGGAAGCTCCCGCTGCTATTCTGAAAAGACCCTGCGGGGTGAACACGGAGTGAATATGTGACAGGTGGCATCCAAATATCAATCGTTTTGAGCAGTGATTCGCAAGGCGTGGCACGAAAAACCATCAGCAACTACGTGCAGTTCAGTTGTATTTAACTTTTGACTTCAACACATCTGCATGTTATCTTTCAGAATTGCAAAATAAAAAAACTCAACTACTGGTTTTTTTTTTTGTTTTGTTTTGCCCAGCTCTCTCTTTTTCCCTTGCCCATACCTCTTCCTTCATCCCCGTCTCCAGCAGCATCATGACGCAGGCCTCAATGGGCAGGGCGATGTCACGGTTACTCCGCTTCAGGTGCTCCTCCAGGGCCGTGCCAAACGCCGGCTTCTCCGTCCACGACTCTGAAGTAAAACCGACTTTGGGGTTGATGCGCTCAGGTCTTCTTCCGGGTATGAAATACCTCGCTGCTCACCTTGCTGTAATTGTATATTCGGGATCGCCTCATCCAGAGCTGCCAGAGACCTTCTGTGGTAGTCTGCCTGGGCCTCTAATAACTGTCATACATGGACAAGTGTGAATGCGGCTGACTTTGATTGTCGCTCATCCCGAATGAAATGAAACTAGCCGTCGCGGGACTCACCATGAGATAATAGCGTGCGTAGTCTCCTTCTTTGGACGCAAAGTTGTACATGTCCGCTGATAACTGGTCCTGCGGGGAAAACATCCAGACACATTATCCCCCCAAAATAAAGAAAGAAATAAAAAAATACAATATTTTTGTCAGGAAGTGTAAGTGCAGTCGAAACCTACTTTACAGATTTCGACTTTGTTCAGAGCCTCGTCCATCTCGTCCTTGAGGGAGTCCACCTTAGCTGCCATGGCTTGGTTGCTGGACTTGGTGGCTTGATACCACCTGCATCACAATCAATTCTTAAACCCGAGAAATGTCTTCCAGGGGCCGACTGACAACTTTTGTAATGTACTGGATCGGCAACAAAAATGTCATGTTTTCTTCTAGGGCTGGGGGCTGTCAAATATTTTTACAATCGATTATGCTCGTGATTGTCCCCTTGATTATGAGTTATCGGATTTAAAAAAAAAAAAAAAAAAGACTATTTTGCATTTCTATTTGGGGTCATCGCCTCTTTGCATTCTATACTGTAGTATCTGTGACTTAGAATGTATGTGGGTTTTTTTTTTCCCCTCCTGACTCGGCGCAGTCGTGCCGACTTATTTCAACATTATTCCAGCTAAAAAAATAAAATGACCATTGCGAAGTTCTGGGCAGAGATTTTAAGGAAGTAAGGAAGTGTCCAGCTCGAGTTACTTCCTCGGCCTATGCGCCATCCCTCCACAAATGGAATCGCTGATTTCAGTATGTTCAACAAACGCACTTCCACTGTCACACTTTGGGCTTCTTGGACGTCATCCTAGAAAACGGCATTTTGCGAGAAGAACTGAAACTCAACCTTGTCTTAGCCGAGTCGTAGTCCAGGACCAGTTTGGCGAGTTGCTTCCTCTGTTTTAGTATGTTGGGTATCTCAATCTGTGGAGATGTCAAGTTTCAACCGAAACAGCAAAAAAAAAATTGACCACAGGGGAGAGAAAAAAAACCCAAACAAACATTCAGAGCGGGTTTTGTACCTCGGCCAGCGTGTTGAGAGGATCCAGAATGTCTCTCTCGATCTGCACTTCATACTGCATCAGTTCACTGGCCAACCTGCTCTCGGCCTCGCCGCACACATCCATCATCTTGCTGTTCACGCACGCACATCAGAGAGAGGAAATTCATGTGGCTTTGCTCATTCAAGAGAAAACACACAAACGCGTTCCTTATCGGTCCGTTTGCAATGTTGCTTCATGGCAAGCGGCTTTTAAGTTGGCGTTTCATCGCTCACCCGATCAGACTCTCGTCGCCCAGCTGAGAGCCGCCCTCTTGCATGGCCTGAGACAGTGCAGTCAATGGCAGCTTTTTCTAAAGGGGAAAAAAAAGATTAAAAAAAAAAAAAAGACAACTTCATGACTGAGAACTACACAAGTGAATGATGGCCGCCGAGTGTCATTGGACTCACGTGTCTCTTCTCGGTGTCTGTGCCCAGCTGACCCTGCAGACAGGACACCAGCCTCTTGTGCGTGTTGTGTGACATCAAGCGCACCAGCTCCATGCGCCTCTCGATCTGAGCGTCGACATCAGATAATTAAGACCCGAGGCGAACACACAGTTTATCATGAAAGGGAAGGGGGGGGTGGGGGGCAGAGAACGGCCTTAAATCCAAAACGATGGCATTTGTCAGGTGAGCGTTGGCCTCACTTCCCTTGTGTGGTGTTTCATGAACCTTACTATACACATGGTCGTTTCTTTTCGGCAAAAAACGCCTTACTTGATATATGGTAATTTTTTGGGGGCTAAAAATGCTTCACTATACATGGTTGTTTTTAGATTTTTTTTGATAAAAACCGCCTGACTATACATGGTCGTTTTTTGGGGGCTAAAAACGCCTTACTACACATGGTCGTTTTTTAGAGTTAAAAAAAAACACCTTACTAGACATGGTCAGTTTTTTTCGATAAAAAAACGCCTTACTATGTATGCATGGTCGTTTTTTTCGGCGAAAAACGCCTTCTATATAAATGTTGGTTTTTTTCGTTTAAAAACGCCTTATTGTACATGGTCGTTGTTTTTCAACAAAAAATGCCTTCCGGTCGTTGTTTTGGGGCTAAAAACCCCTTACTACAAATGGTCGTTTTTTCGGGGGCGAAAAACGCCTTACGATATACATGATCGTTTTTTGGGGGTTTTTTTCCACATAAAACACCTGACTATGCATGGTCGTTTTTTTCAGCCCAAAACACCTTACAATACTTGTTCGTTTTTTTTCGGCCAAAAACGCCTTACGATAGATACATGGTCGTTTTTTTTGACCCAAAACACCTTACTATACATGTTTGGTTTTTTTTCGGCCAAAAATGCCTTACTACTATACATGTCGGTTCTTTTGGGGCCAAAAACGCTTTACTATATATGGTCGGTTTTTTTTGGCCCAAAACGCCTTACAATACATGGTCGTTTTTTTCAGCCCAAAACGACTTATTATACATGGTCGTTTTCTTCAGCCCAAAACGCCTTACTAAACATGGTCGTTTGTTTTGGGCCCAAAACGCCTTACTATACATGGTTGTTTTTTTTTGGCCCAAAACGCCTTACTATACATGGTCGTTTTTTTTGGGCCCAAAACGCCTTAAAAAACATGGTCGTTTTTTTCGGCCCAAAACACCTTACTATATACATGGTCGGGTTTTTTTTGGCCTAAAACGCCTTACTATACATGGTCGTTTTTTTCGGCCCAAAACGCCTTACGATACATGGTCGTTTTTTTTTGGACCAAAATGCCTTACTATACATGGTCATTTTTTTCGGCCCAAAACGCCTTAGTATACATGGTTGTTTTTTTCGACCCAAAACGCCTTACTATACATGGTCGTTTTTTTCGGCCCAAAACGCCTTACTAGACATGGTCGGTTTTTTTCGACCAAAAACGCCTTACGATACATGGTCGTTTTTTTTACAGCCAAAAACCCCTTGCTATACATGGTCGTTTTCTTCGGCCAAAAACGCCTTCCTATACATGGTCGTTTTTTTCGGCCCAAATTGCCTCACTATACATGGTCGTTTTTTTCGGCCCAAATTGCCTCACTATACATGGTCGTTTTTTTCGGCCCAAATTGCCTCACTATACATGGTCGTTTTTTTCGGCCCAAATTGCCTCACTATACATGGTCGTTTTTTTCGGCCCAAATTGCCTCACTATACATGGTCGTTTTTTTCGGCCCAAATTGCCTCACTATACATGGTCGTTTTTTTCGGCCCAAATTGCCTCACTATACATGGTCGTTTTTTTCGGCCCAAATTGCCTCACTATACATGGTCGTTTTTTTCGGCCCAAATTGCCTCACTATACATGGTCGTTTTTTTCGGCCCAAATTGCCTCACTATACATGGTCGTTTTTTTCGGCCCAAATTGCCTCACTATACATGGTCGTTTTTTTCGGCCCAAATTGCCTCACTATACATGGTCGTTTTTTTCGGCCCAAATTGCCTCACTATACATGGTCGTTTTTTTCGGCCCAAATTGCCTCACTATACATGGTCGTTTTTTTCGGCCCAAATTGCCTCACTATACATGGTCGTTTTTTTCGGCCCAAATTGCCTCACTATACATGGTCGTTTTTTTCGGCCCAAATTGCCTCACTATACATGGTCGTTTTTTTCGGCCCAAATTGCCTCACTATACATGGTCGTTTTTTTCGGCCCAAATTGCCTCACTATACATGGTCGTTTTTTTCGGCCCAAATTGCCTCACTATACATGGTCGTTTTTTTCGGCCCAAATTGCCTCACTATACATGGTCGTTTTTTTCGGCCCAAATTGCCTCACTATACATGGTCGTTTTTTTCGGCCCAAATTGCCTCACTATACATGGTCGTTTTTTTCGGCCCAAATTGCCTCACTATACATGGTCGTTTTTTTCGGCCCAAATTGCCTCACTATACATGGTCGTTTTTTTCGGCCCAAATTGCCTCACTATACATGGTCGTTTTTTTCGGCCCAAATTGCCTCACTATACATGGTCGTTTTTTTCGGCCCAAATTGCCTCACTATACATGGTCGTTTTTTTCGGCCCAAATTGCCTCACTATACATGGTCGTTTTTTTCGGCCCAAATTGCCTCACTATACATGGTCGTTTTTTTCGGCCCAAATTGCCTCACTATACATGGTCGTTTTTTTCGGCCCAAATTGCCTCACTATACATGGTCGTTTTTTTCGGCCCAAATTGCCTCACTATACATGGTCGTTTTTTTCGGCCCAAATTGCCTCACTATACATGGTCGTTTTTTTCGGCCCAAATTGCCTCACTATACATGGTCGTTTTTTTCGGCCCAAATTGCCTCACTATACATGGTCGTTTTTTTCGGCCCAAATTGCCTCACTATACATGGTCGTTTTTTTCGGCCCAAATTGCCTCACTATACATGGTCGTTTTTTTCGGCCCAAATTGCCTCACTATACATGGTCGTTTTTTTCGGCCCAAATTGCCTCACTATACATGGTCGTTTTTTTCGGCCCAAATTGCCTCACTATACATGGTCGTTTTTTTCGGCCCAAATTGCCTCACTATACATGGTCGTTTTTTTCGGCCCAAATTGCCTCACTATACATGGTCGTTTTTTTCGGCCCAAATTGCCTCACTATACATGGTCGTTTTTTTCGGCCCAAATTGCCTCACTATACATGGTCGTTTTTTTCGGCCCAAATTGCCTCACTATACATGGTCGTTTTTTTCGGCCCAAATTGCCTCACTATACATGGTCGTTTTTTTCGGCCCAAATTGCCTCACTATACATGGTCGTTTTTTTCGGCCCAAATTGCCTCACTATACATGGTCGTTTTTTTCGGCCCAAATTGCCTCACTATACATGGTCGTTTTTTTCGGCCCAAATTGCCTCACTATACATGGTCGTTTTTTTCGGCCCAAATTGCCTCACTATACATGGTCGTTTTTTTCGGCCCAAATTGCCTCACTATACATGGTCGTTTTTTTCGGCCCAAATTGCCTCACTATACATGGTCGTTTTTTTCGGCCCAAATTGCCTCACTATACATGGTCGTTTTTTTCGGCCCAAATTGCCTCACTATACATGGTCGTTTTTTTCGGCCCAAATTGCCTCACTATACATGGTCGTTTTTTTCGGCCCAAATTGCCTCACTATACATGGTCGTTTTTTTCGGCCCAAATTGCCTCACTATACATGGTCGTTTTTTTCGGCCCAAATTGCCTCACTATACATGGTCGTTTTTTTCGGCCCAAATTGCCTCACTATACATGGTCGTTTTTTTCGGCCCAAATTGCCTCACTATACATGGTCGTTTTTTTCGGCCCAAATTGCCTCACTATACATGGTCGTTTTTTTCGGCCCAAATTGCCTCACTATACATGGTCGTTTTTTTCGGCCCAAATTGCCTCACTATACATGGTCGTTTTTTTCGGCCCAAATTGCCTCACTATACATGGTCGTTTTTTTCGGCCCAAATTGCCTCACTATACATGGTCGTTTTTTTCGGCCCAAATTGCCTCACTATACATGGTCGTTTTTTTCGGCCCAAATTGCCTCACTATACATGGTCGTTTTTTTCGGCCCAAATTGCCTCACTATACATGGTCGTTTTTTTCGGCCCAAATTGCCTCACTATACATGGTCGTTTTTTTCGGCCCAAATTGCCTCACTATACATGGTCGTTTTTTTCGGCCCAAATTGCCTCACTATACATGGTCGTTTTTTTCGGCCCAAATTGCCTCACTATACATGGTCGTTTTTTTCGGCCCAAATTGCCTCACTATACATGGTCGTTTTTTTCGGCCCAAATTGCCTCACTATACATGGTCGTTTTTTTCGGCCCAAATTGCCTCACTATACATGGTCGTTTTTTTCGGCCCAAATTGCCTCACTATACATGGTCGTTTTTTTCGGCCCAAATTGCCTCACTATACATGGTCGTTTTTTTCGGCCCAAAATGCCTTACTATACATGGTCGTTTTTTTTCGGCCCAAAACGCCTTGGTCGTTAGAAAAAGTCTGACTAAAAATGAAAACGATGGCCAAGACCAGGACTTGAACCCTGCACCTCTGCACTTTAACGGCGACGCACTTACCAATCAACCACGGTGTCGCTGCTGTACTGAGTTTGTCAGGACCAACCCAAAAAGGTTTTTACGTACATCGTCGTACAAAAAAGCTTTCCACGCAAACTTCCCAGAGGAAGGCAGAGAGCTGGATTGGGTGAAAAATGCCTTACTATTCATGGTCATTTTTTTCAGGAAAAAAATGCCTCAATATACATGGTTGTTTTTTTTTTGGGCAAAAAAAAGGCCTTCCTTACATGGTCATGAGAAAAAGCCTTACAAAGCATGCAAACTCTGCAGACGATGGCCGAGACCTGGATTTGAACCGTGCACCTCTGCGCTGTAAAGCCGACACATTAACCAGTCAACCACGGTGGCACTGGTCTTCTGAGGTCATCGGGACTCACCCAAAAAGGTGTTCATGTACATAGTTGTAAAAAAAAGCTTTCCCTGCAAACTTCGCAGAAGAAGGCAGAGAGCTGGATTGGGCGGCAAAA